GCATAGCCGTCATTACACAGGAACACAGAGAGATACGGCATCAGTGACTGTGCAGAGCCGTCATTACACAGGAACACAGAGAGATACGGCATCAGTGACTGTGCAGAGCCGTCATTACAGAGGAACACAGAGAGACATGTCAGTGAGCTGGAGAAACGGCATCAGTCACTGTGCAGAGCAATCATTACACAGAAACACAGAGAGACACGCCAGTGAGCTGGAGACACGGCATCAGTCACTGTGCAGAGCTGTCATTACACAGGAACAGGGAGAGACATTTCAGTGAGCTGGAGAAACGGCATCACTAACTGGGCAGAGCCATTGTCTCTCTCTGTTCCTGTGTAACATGTCAGTGAGTTGGAGACATGGCATCTGTCACTGCAGAGGCGTTATTACACAGGAACACAGAGAGACATATCAGTGCACTGGAGACATGACATCAATCACTGGGCAGAGCCATCATTACACAAGAAGACAGAGAGACATGTCAGTGAGATGGAGACACGACATCAATCACTGTGCAGAGCTGTCGTTACACAGGAACAGAAAGAGACATGTCAGTGAGCTGGAGACAAAGCATCACTCACTGGGCAGAGCCGTCATTACACAAGAAGACAGAGAGACATGTCAGGAGATGGAGACACCACATGTCATTGCTTTATTTATCCATGTGAAGTATGAATGCAAGAGGATAACTTTGGTTTAAGCATTTGGGGGCTTGAGGTCTCCACCTATTTAAGGGTTCGAGGGGGTTGTACTGTCCGGTTTTGATTATCGGGTGGGTTACAACCCCCATAATTTACACCTATGCATAAGCACATCATTTTAAATAATTGCAAGCAAATATATACAAACATGTGTACCCAACAACATTCTAACCAGTTACCGTGGTCAGAATAACTGGGACAAACATTTATATAAAGAAAAGGGTGGTGGTGGGGGGGAGGGGGCCTTCTGCCGCATAAACTAAGTTTCTACAAGCATTGCAAGTGACAGAGTACCAACCACACTAGAACCAAAATAGATAAGGAAGAAAGATTCACAGGCTCACAGCCTAAATAATAAAAATGCAGCATTTTTGCTCATTCAAACAGCAGAACTTCGCAAGTGGTAGTAATTTGTCTGAATAAAATGCCTACCTGTTAGCTCAGAGCCCTCTTGCTCCATTATACATGTGTCTGGTTCAAAACTGTCTTCCATATTTCTTCTGCCCTGCGACTGCTACCAGCACTTGCTGTCGTTTTTGTCTGATGACTACACTCTAGTGCCTGAGAGGAAGCAGCCCTAAAACTCACCACTGAAGTTCTGCTTGGGTTACTGCCCACAGAGTGAAGGCGGATGTGCCTCAGCAAGATCCAGTGCTAGCACTGCAATGCCCATGCTATATTATTTTTATTTTAATTCTTATTATTGTGCTGATGCTGAAGTATTTTACCTGTTTATCAGTAATATGTAGAATACAGACAAAAATTTACGACACACAAGACATTTGAAATCAGTCCCCCAGTTTAGATTTGCAGCACACACACCAAAGCAGACACAGACTACAGTAGAGTTTGAAAAGTATAATTTTATTTAATGAACCTTTATTAAAAGCTCCCCAGGCTGGAACCCTCACTGTAAGATGCAATACAAACACACCCAAGCCAGCCGTCCACTCCCAGGTACCTGGGTCACTGTATCCCAGCCTGAGGGGCTGACAGGTTTGCATGGTCCACAGTGGACAGACACACACACAAATGAGACAGGCTTGCTGAAGGGATCCCACATGGCTGCTCACGCCTGGTTACAGCGTCACATGGACCTCACATGAAAGCAGCAACACAGAGGGTTTGTCGGAATGAGGCATGTGAGGATGAGTGACCAAAGCCATAGACCATGCATCACTCATCTCCTTACAGCAGGGGAAAGCTTCCCCAGCCAAGGCAGACAAAACATCCATCAATGTCTGTCATCCCCTCAACGTCACACTGCTCTGCCCACCACTTCTACCATCCCCCTCCTCTCATGAGTACTGAGCCCCACCTCCGTCAGGCAGACATTCAAACCCATCAAGTGCTTTCCTCAGAGACAATCAGCCCCCCCCCCCCCTTTACAGTAGGTTTGTCCCCCAGCACGTCTTTGTACGCACTATATGGACTAGACAGCAACTGAATCGCACACTACTGAGAAACCACTGACACTCTGTGGAGACAATTAGATAAGAAAAAAAAAGAGACTAAATTTCTTCACAGTTCACCTGAAGGGTTTATACGTGTTCGTAATTACAGAAGTCCAGAAGAACATGACAACCTTCCTATATTTGGCAACTGCAATCCAAGCACTAGCAGCGCAACACCTTAATATCACTGAGGTGCTTACTGGGCTCATGTGGCAATGCCTATGAAAGCAGTTACATGGCACAGCTGCCATGCTGATTGGTCAGCTACTGTTCTGCCTGGAGCTGCCATGCTGATTGGTCAGCTACTGTTCTGCCTGGAGCTGCCATGCTGATTGGCCAGCTACCGTACTGCCTGGAAAGCCTTTACGCTGGTTTCATAACACTCAACGCACTATAATGTATGAGCACTCTAATCCAATGAGAGTACGGTGGATTTCCTCTAAATTATAAATGACAAAAGGAGATGAACATGTAAGCCTTTGTTAGCTAAACTTACAAGGATGGGGTTAATGATGTGAAACATGAAAGACAAGTCCACCCCCCCTCGCAAATTAAAATAAATACATCCCCAGGTTGCTATAGGAGGGCTACAACAAGAAAGCACTACAAATGGCAGCGAGCAGAGCAGGATCTCTCGTCATTTCCCTGACACGCCCACCTATACTGAACCACATCATCTTAGGAACTGGGTTTTGGGTTAAGTGGGTTGGTTTCCAGCAAGCATCAAAGTGAAACTATATTACAGAGAGTTATATGACATGACATGCCTAACATCTATGATGTAAACAAATTCCCTATGCCCTATGTACAAAGGAAAATAATTTATACCGATATATACACACACAGAAATAAGAAGGCAAAAAGTGAAATTCAGCTGTACCATGTTGCTGATTTTGCAATACACACAAATTAAGTGTTTTTCCCTTTAAACTCTTTGATTCTCAAAACAAGCAAATCTTACTTGTAGACATACTTTTTACATACAGTTCTAACGATGATAGTTGCGGAGCTGAGCATGTAGGGAGCATTCTCCATTCATGCCACTACTTAAATACGTTAAGATACATAATGTAACATGTTCCTAGCTAGTGGTATGCTTCTAATATTTGAGGAGTGTCTGCAAAGAATGAAACTGATTTTTTTCTTCCCTCCCCTTTTTTTTTTTTTTTTTTTTTTTTACACATCAGTTCATACCCCTTGAACCTTGCATCAATTTTCTGGCCAAAGAGCCAGAACTCAAGCCTAAAAGCGGCATGCAGGTTTATACAGCTGCTCTTCAAGGTCATGGTCGTTCTTATATATCTTTGATCATTTCCAGTGTAGTTTACAGAAAGCAGACATCTCCCTGTACTGATCGCACTGTCAAAGCCATGGTCATTTTTTTGTTATATATAAATAAATGAATGTTTTCCTTCAGCAATTTCTTCTTCTTAAATGAGCAGGATTAAGCCACACCTCCATCAAGGGCATTCGTTTTCCTGCCCTGCCCCAACTTTTGTTTTCAACCAATGAGAGAGTTGCGCCTTGACAGGTCCACGTTGCTGGCACTCAGTCCTCTAGATTCTGACAGGCCATTGCTGGGCTGCTGAAGATTAAGAAAGAAAAGACATGTTAGACTGAATCACAGTGTTAACAGCAGGTATGATGGTTTGCTTAAGCACAGCGATTACATAGACAGCAATACATGTCCTTATCCGCACAACCCATCTAAGTCAAAAGCCTAGTTTTGAACCCTTGTTTTAAAAAAGAAACTGTTACATGATGATCCTACAGGAAGGAGGACAGTAGCAAATAGAACAGAGCCAAACAGACAGGGAAAACAAAAGAGTGACCAGATAAATGGAATTTATGACGGACTTATCAGTTAATATCAGTGTTTAAAAACATAAGTAATTATAATTACTTGAGAATTACTTGAGAATATAGTAAAATATGTAACTGATGTAAATTAAATTCAATATTATGAGTTTGAGGATGCACAGTCAAAAGTGTCTTCTGAAAAGCACTTGAAAGAGGTCTAAGATGATCACATGCAGAACTGCACCAACTGGGCTGGGGCTTTGAGATTACACCAGTACCTGGGAGGGGTCCTCTGCGCTCTTATTCAGGAAGTTAAGGGAGCAAGCTCTCTTCATGCTGCGGAAGACACAGATCACCATCTTAGAGTGTACAATAACCGCATTACACACCAGAAGTCAGATTTTTCCAAAAATAAAAAACGCTACCATGTTTCCTGTAAAATAAGCACCCTGCTTTTCTGAATTTTTTTTCTCTTAATTCCAGAAGACAGATTTTTTTTTAATTTGCACAAAAAAACTACACAGAATAAACATTTATGCAATCTACAGAAAACTGCAGAGCTTACATTATATTACAGAGTGCACTTTTTCTGCTCTGGAAACAGAAGAACAGGAGCAGGCACTATGCAGGCTGACTATGCCACCTGCTGGAGACAGGCTGTCATCTCACCCAGGATTGCGTGGCTCCTGGGGGCCGCTGCCCTGCAGCTTCTTCACCAGCATCTCGCTGCTTCTGCGCAGGGCGTCCCGGATCTTGCCAAATGAGCCGCTACGGCGCAGGGAGCCGCTTCCATCCTGCAGGACGGTGGCAAATTTTAGCCGAACTTCAGCGGGGATTCAGCAGTATGAACTGGTGAATCACTTGTGAATAAGGCACTCGAGTGTCACAGATCAACTGTGAGATAGTTGGGTTTATTCAAGAAAGCCCAGATAGACTGACCCCGTTCCACTCAGCGTTGTCTTCACCCTCCCCCTCACCACGCAGCCCCCCGGGAGTGTTCAGGCCGTCCCGGCTCTGCCGCCGCTCATCAGCGCCCAGCATGCCATCCTTCAGCAGCTCCACCACTTTGCTCTGGTTAATGGCATCGATGCCCTGAAAATCGTAAAACAAAATCAGAAGCACGACTTGAAACTGAAGGTCCACAAATAGCCGTCTGGTCACCCGACACACAAAATGAATGCTGGCTGAGGCTTATTTCATTTGCATCAAACAACTAAAAGGATTTTCTAATTCAATAAGTGGTGAGTAACAGGTTCCCCTGAAATAACCCAAGCTGGGTGGGCCAATGAGAGATGGAAACGATTAGGCTAGTGATGAAAGAAACAACAAAACAATGGGACAGAAGGAGGCATTTCCAGGACTGGAGAGTGATATATGGGTTTTAGAGGAAGTACAAGACACATTGCTGAATGTATTTTGTGTTTTAGCAATGAAATAACTCGGTACATCATCAGCATGAAGCATTTCCAAGCAAAACCAAACAGCCACACTGCTATCTTTATCCAAAGGGGGGGGGGCTGTGTCAACGCCAATGGATCAGCAAAATGGTACAGTTCTCTGAATTGCTAAAACACATCTCCTAAAATCTCTCCTTTTCTCAAAACACTAATAGAATAGAATAACCACTTTTATTGTCATTCAGAACATACACCGGTTAGTGCACAACAGAATGAAATTTCGTTGCATTGTATGCTCACCATCGGCCTGGCAGTGTGTGTAAAATATATGTATATATGTGTGTGTATATTAGGGATGGCACGGTTCATGAAAAAAAACTGAACCGTTCGGTTTGCTTGTCTCGGTTCGGGGCATGCATGCGTCGCACGGTTCGACGGTTCATGACATGCGCAATGTAGCCTCGTGCCCCGTATGTGACGTCAGTGTGTTTCCCTTTCGCGCGAAAGAATAGGCTATATGCACAGAGCGGTGTGACGTAGTTCCAGTAAAAGTTCAGCCAGCCAAGTAATTTCCGGTAGCCTTTCGTTTGCTGCGTTTAGCTCAAGTTTTCGGCGTTACCACCCTGTCTCTGAAGAAAACGTTTAAATTTCAGCCAACCGATAGCACAACATCTGAACACTGTTGTGCGCCTTTGTTGTGTGACTTTATTTAATGTGCGGTTAGGCACTTTGTTAAAGAAAATTAAGTTATCTGTGACAAAGCACTCCAGTGAGTGTCATGCCTCGATCGTTCACTCTTTCCGTGACCCTAAAACCGTGATACAAACCGAACCGTGGGTTTTGTGAACCGTGCCACCCCTAGTGTATATATATATAGAAAATAAGTGAATATTCAATTCAATTCAATTTTATTTATATAGCGCATTATCACAACATTACATTGTCTCAATGCGCTTTACATTTCTGCCTCGTAAGGACCCCCCAATGAGTAAGCCAAAGGCTATACATAACAGATATATTAACCGCAGTATAGCAGCAAACCCTGCACTTACCCTGAAATTCAAGCTACACTCACAAAACTATATTATCTTTGCTCAAAAGCAAACACTGCTTTCAGATCACGCATCAAGCCAGTTGGTACATAAACACTGAGCAGTCATTACACACTACAGCAAAAAACTGAAAACACTCCCAGTCAAAACCGAGAAGTCCGGAGAATCTGTCGGGACCTCCTGCAAACACTTACGGTGCCGTAACACTGGCATATAGAGAAACATTTACTGTGGATGTGGTCTTTTGCATATTGAGCTGCAAAACTGGAAACCACAAGAGTATAGTGAAAACAAACAAAAAAAATGTTATCTACCAAAAATGTTTGCATACATTGCATTATACTAAACTGACATGTAATGTTTGCAGTATTCAGTACTCCAAAAAGGTTACTGTAAAAGACAAAGTAAAAAATCCAAATGAGAGGCATATTACAGTACAATGTTGTGCAACTGCCAAGCCAAAGTCAAGGAAGAATATTCACGCTGCCTCATCATCATGTCAGGACAAAGAACTTTGGCTACATCACAGGAAATGCTCTCCCTTGCTGGGTGATGCGGGAAGAATCATCTGTGTGACCCATTTGTACCTTGACGTCGAAATTTATCTCACCTATGGCACTTGCACTCTCATCTGGCACGTTTTCTATGTTCTAGCCACTCTTTGGCTTCTGCTCATGTTTAGAAACGTGTGAACAGTTTTGAGTCATTGTGTTTAAATGATGACTAATGTGTGCTGGCTTTGCTTAAATTTTGTGACCCGTGTTGTCTATTTCGCATGAAAGTGGTGCAAAATGTGTTTTGATGAATGAGAATGAGTTTTGCAAGAAGGGTGACTCAGATCTGCAAATTGTGTCTAACTAGGTGAGCACTGTTTACAGTTTCGTCAAATGAGTGACTGATTCAATAAATGAGTTTTGGCAATTGGCAGTTTTGTTCAAAGAATGAGGTTTATTGTTTTAGCAATTCAGAAGAACTGTATTATATTTGTACCCCAAAAATGTCACATAATTTGGTGGTACATTGCATTTTAGTTTGGGGTCTTTTTTGTCTTGGAATAAAATTCAAAATTTGCCTGGCTCCAGTTGGTATAGACTATATACAGGCTTAGGCCAGTAACAAATATAATGTAGTTATAATATTAAAACAAAACGTATACAAATATATCTACATTTTAATAAGAACATAAGAACATAAGAACTATACAAACGAGAGGAGGCCATTTGGCCCATCGAGCTCGCTTGGGGAGAACTTAACTAATAGCTCAGAGTAGTGCATGTAGTCTTGATTATATCTTGCGAAGTTTTACACGCACATACACGCACACACACATATACACACACACTTACACTTGAGTATATATAAGAAATGATATAATGCATAAGGTGCATTACAAGATTTGCTAATGCTTGCTTGAAAAATTAGACCATGCAACAATTTATTCTCTGGCAGCTTTTACATGACACCATTTACTAGAGTGCAGGACCAAGAACAAATCATTCAGGTGCCCGACTCGAATAAGCAGTTGTGCTTCTATTGTGAACTCAGAGAATGCAAAAGTAAAACCCATCAAGCTCGAGGTATTTTCTTTTTTTAAATTTTTATATTTTCCATTTTAAATTCTGGTGCCACCAGGTCAGTGAATGCTACTGGTGACTTCAATAACTAATTCAGGTCAGAGTTCTCTTTTTTCCTCTCTCTCTCTTTTTTTTTTTTTTTTAAAGAACTGCATATCTGATTGTACTGGAGCAGTATACACATGGAAGCATTGTGTTTAAGCTTTTCCTCCCACAGGTTGGAAACTAGGAAGAAAACCCCTATCCCCGTTTGACAGGGGAACAGGGTCAGTCTCTGCTAGCTGCCAGTCCAGTACGTACCAGCAGCTCAAGGAGAGAAACCACAGCATCACAGCACATCTGACCATTTTAACATTCTATGACAAGTGCAATAAATATTTCACTTATTGCTATTTAGAAAAAATGTCTACTGCACATTTTAGTGTCGAGTTTTTTTTCCACATGTCATTTATGCTCAGTGTTTATTTGGTTAAATCCTATATTTGCATATATCCTCCTGAGACCCAAGGGAAAAAAAAAAAGAGTTCTTCAATTTTAGGTTTTTTGTCTTTGGAGGAAATAAGACATCTTACAATTTAGATTTTTTCAAATATATTTTTATTTCTAATTTCACAGCATGTCCTCTTTAGTGTACAACAGGAACAAATATGTTTCTTTACATCAGTGAAAAGGTAGATGCAAAAACAAAATGTCCACTACAATGGACATAAATGAATGGGTGGGGTCTCAGGAGGATATAATGGAGCTTTAGCTGGGGGGGGAAAGTGGCTCTGAATATAGCTCTGGTACCTGCTTGCGGGACTTGGTTGCACATTCCTCCAGGGTCTTAGCAGCCTCCAGCTTGCCCTGCCGACGATAGAGCGTGCCCAGGCTCTTCAGGGTGTTATTCACTGTGGGACTAACACAGCGAGCAGAAGGCATTCACACAAAGTACACAGCGAGCAGAAGGCATTCACACAAAGTACACAGCGAGCAGAAGGCATTCACACAAAATACACAGGG